CCCCCCCCCCCCTCTCTCCCTCTCTCTCTCTCTGTCTGTCTCTCTCTCGCTCCCTCTTTCTTTTTCTCTCTCCCTCTCTCCTTCCCTGTCTCCTTCTCTCTCTTTCTCTCTCCTTCCCTGTCTCCTTCTCTCTCTTTCTCTCTCTCATAATTTGTCCAGCGTGATCTAGTTATAGACTAAAGGATTCTGGGCGAAATATGAGGTAAAAATGTCTCACGCGCCTTTAGCATTATTATTGGTTCTACCAGCAAGCTCCAATGTCACATCCGATCACGGGAATGACACTATAGAAAGATATTGGACAACGCCTTCCCTGTGTATGAAGATTGATACACTTGATGCTAAACGGCCTGGGGTAACAGCGTTCAGTATGTGCGGTCAAGCAGGCACTTTCCAAAGCTTAAGCGGCTGACAGAGCGGCTGTTAAAAGTGCGGTCTCGAGTGGCTTTCTATGTGTGGTCGCCCCAAGTGCTGTGCCACTGACACACGCTTATCATTATTGTGAGCCTGAGATCACTACGTAACTACTCAGCCACTGGAGCCCAGAATTTTAATTTATTATTATTATAAGGTCCCAGTACAGTAGGGAGGAGTTGAGGTCACAGTGAGGAGTTTAAGTAAAGCAAGGTAGGTATACATTTCCTATTTCAAGGACATTCCCCAATAGAACATAAAAGCTTATTTCACCAAGAGGTTACGATTGATACTGGGGTTTCAAGAAAATAAGGTACATGTGAAATAAAGTGATACATGTGAAATAAAGCTGCTTTCCAAGAAGGACATCCACTGTCTACATTAAATCTCTCTCTCTGACCAAAGAGTGAGTCACTCACCTCTGTTGTGTAGAAGATACACTTCCCGTCATAAGTACCTACAACCGCCAGTCGGCCATTGTAGCAGAAGTTTGCCGTTGTGATGAGGTTGGAATTGCCGGACAGCTCATTCCACAAGGTCACTTTCTTGTCTGGAATGTTCCATAACCTTAGCTTGCCATCCAAAGACCCGCTGAGAAAGTAGCGATCATCCTGACCAAAAAAAAAATGTAAACATACTTTGTTCATTTGACAGTCCACATCTCATCCAAATTTATAAAAGAAAATGAACAGCAAAATATATCAAGATCCAAGTAAAAATAGGTCTTCTATATTGTTCCTTCCTCAGTAGTGTGGTGGCCTAGATATGTCAGATGAGGATCAGGAAAATTCCTAAATTGTGTGGGAAGGCAGAGCAAAACATACCTGGGTTTGAATACCTTTGAACAATGACTTCATGTTGTATCACAGGTCTACATCACAAAAAAGCCTATTTACAAAGAGACAGAGGTTTGCTCGATTTTCTTTTCGCAATCGACTCTAGAATAGTACAGCCAACACAAGCACAAGGGTGGCTGAAAAGTACTGCATGTTAGGCCATATCTCTCTTATTTTCATTTGTTTGTCTGGTAAAAGTTTAACCACGCTTGCACCTGCATTATATGGTCACCTGAGCATGCAGGACACAAGTTAGCTGAGTTCACGTTAGTTCATTGGACAGCTTGCTTTTCCATTTAAAGTAAGAATGGCTATAGTTATAGTATCTAAAACTACTTTGTCAAAATTTCAGAGTTAAAAGAGCAGTAATTTACATTTTTTAAATAACAGTATCTACCTTTTTAAAGTAAAGATTAAGAATGGTCTTTATAAAGTCAAAGCAATATTATGATCTTTATAAAAAAATCAAGAATTTCGTTAGAATCAATATAGAAAAATAAAATTAAAAATTTTCTAATTAGTACATGATCTTAAATGTTTCTTTAGGGTCTCTCCAGGGTCCGAACATTTTATTAGGATGTGGCGGGTAAAAAAGTCAGTATCATATCTGACACAAAATGGTTTTTCTTTACTTTGCAGGAAATTTCTATGCATCAGGGAGGTGTGTCCAATAGGCATTCTGGTTAAAATAGCCTGGTCTCTTCTGGAAGAGACCCGAGGCTTTTCATGGACCGAATTAGGGAATTACATTGTGGAGATTGTTGTTTTACTGTTCACTCCAGTATATTCCTCCCTTAGAATTTAGACTGAAGTTGCAGCTTTTTACTTTATTTTTTAAAGTCTTTTTAGATTGAGTAGATGTTTTACGGCACTATCGACACAATTTTGGTCATTTCAGCCCCAACAGGTTTCACCGCAACAAAATCAGACGTGTTTTAGTAAGAGTCCTTCGGAGCTCGCAACCGTACACGGTCACACTATTCTCATTATGCTAAAATGACGGAAAGACATTTATAAAAAAAAATTTTAATATGGTGAAGACTTATTTACATATTTGTATATATATACAATATTAATTTCAGTGTATGTATATATACACCGATAACGATAACTATATATTTTCATATTCTATTAAATAGTCCAATTTCTTTTACATAACTTAAATTTTTTTAAAGGGTCTACAATGTCAAAAAGGGTCTTACGAACATCATTAAATTCGACAAATGTGAAATTTGTGTTGCACGCCGCGTAAAAAGGAGCTTCCCCTCCTTCAAGCAAATGTTTGTGCGTGACGTGCGTGTGTCTTATCTTTAATCTGGTAAAAATTACTTTTTCTCTTCGTAGGAGAGACAGTGGTTTCCTGGGCGCAAGTTTCGGTTGAATGTAATGGAGTTTGTTGTGTATTTGTTGATTCCAAACTTGGGACCAGGAGGATGTGATGTGTTTTTTTTACTTTCGGTTTCATGTCAGAGAAAGGGATTTTACTATTTTTGTTTTCAGGTAGTTTTAGAGATTCTTTGGCAAATTGGTCTACGGCTTCGTTGCCATCAATGCCTACATGATGGCTTGGAAGCCAAGCTATTGTAATAGTTTTTCCAGACTGATGTAGAAAATGCAGTTTAATTATAAGTTTTAAAATTCTGTTGTTGGAGGTGTCAGAGCGCTCTAAAGATTTCAGACAAGAGAGAGAGAGAGTCTGAAAGGATTAGGAAAGTAGACTTGGTTGATTGATCTATTATATTTAGCGCCATTTCAAGAGCTGTAGCCTCAGCGGTGTAGACTGAGGCTTCTGGGTGGAGTTTCCTTAAGCTTAAGCTGTGTGGCGATGCAAGGGCAGCAGCTCCTACTGAGGAGTCATTTTTGGATCCGTCTGTAAAGAGTTTCTCTGCTTCAGGGTCTATTTATTGGGTGACCTTATTTAGGCCACATATGGCCCAAATAAGCTAATCCCCCCTCCCTTATCTTATTTAGGCCACATATGGCCCAAATAAGCTAACCCCCCCTAATCTTATTTAGGCCACATATGGCCCAAATAAGCTAAACCCCCCTCCCTTACCTTATTTAGGCCACATATTATCTGTCCCCGTAGAATTATGCAAATTTAGATGGCCAAATTATGCCCCAAAAAATGCCAAATTATGCAAAAATTATGCAAGTTACCATAACACCTTTCGCGACATGTTTTAAATGTTTTGCACTTTTTTCAACAAATTTTCATGACTTTTATGTTTTAAGTACAGAAAAATTTAAAACAGAACATATCAGTATCAGTAATTTGTAGTGTATTTGGAAAGAAAACAAAACACATCTGTAAAAAAACAACAAAAAAAACAACTACAAAATATAATCTCTGTAACTTTCAGCTGTAGATCTAGTTCTAGTTCTAGATCTGGAAAAAAATACTGTAAAAAAAAAATAAATAAAAAAATAAAAAAATAAAAAAAGGACATCTGGACCTCTGATGCTGGCACATTACTAAAACCAGGGACACCTGTCAAACATGAAACATCAGCAGACATGAGAACAACAACTTTTGATGGACTGAAAAATGAACATGCTCAAGGAGCAAAATGACAAACCATAACCAAGATCTTCTACCAAAGGAAATAACCAACTTTTCCCTTGAATAAGACTTATTATGGTGATTATTTCCCTTTAGTCACATGGCGAGGCGTTAATTAATAAAATTAATTGTTTTGTTTAAAAAAAGGATAAAAACGTGAAAAAACGCGGGGAATCCAAAATTATGCAATTGTGCAGAATTACGCGAAAAAACTGCACAATCGCATAATCCTACGGGGACAGAATGGTAGATTTCTTGAACTAACCATGGATTCGGAAGGTCGAGATTCTACTGATCTTTTTACTTAGTGCGGGGGATTATTTCAAAATAGAGGATGGTACTAAATGAAAAGTGGACCAAGGGTAAGAGTAATGTGTCTGTGTGTGTGTGTGTGTGTGTGTGTGTGTGTGTGTGTGTGTGTGTGTGTGTGGGCGTGTGGGTGGGTGTGTTTGTGTGTGTGTGTGTGTGTGTGAGTGTGTGTGTGTATATGTTTGTTTTGTGCGTGGTTGTGGTGAGATAGAGATCGAGAGATGTGCATGAGTGTCTTCTCAGTTGTACGGTCCAAATGTACATTATTTTGTTGAGAATTTTACATAAAATTCAACTACAAAACACCTTTATACAAAGTCACAGAAATATTCTTTTTGTGCTTATTGAGGTACAGTACAAGGGTGATTTTACCTGCAAGGATAATTGGACAAAATGGGCAATATCTTTTTATTGCTAATGGTCATATTTAGACAATTCCCATATATCATTCTCTTTCTTTATCTTAACTGCTCATGTTTATTAAAGAGTAAGCCAACTAGATCAAGGTAGTAATTTCGGATTCCTAGTTATGGGCATTCTTAAAATTTTTTAACTTGTTTTTAACGCTTTTCTCAACGTTAAACGGATTCCGTACAAAAACAAACCCAATGACCTTATCTTTCTTTTTCAAAGTATTGTGCATACATTTGTGTGAAACTATATATTCTATGCTTTCAAGAACATGAAAAAAACTAATAAAGTCAAGCAAAATGTTCTTCAGAGACATAGATCTAGATCTAGTAGTAGGCCCACTGGAACATTTTATAAACCGTGAAAAGATGACCAGAAGAAAATAACAAAATTATCTTATGATCTTCACTTGCACTTGCAATTTTTTGGACAAATTATAGTCCACCTCATTATCTTTTTCTTTCCACATTTTTCTTCACTATTCATGACAACTGGCCTGTATTGTTTTCAGTTGTTATCAAGGAAGTGGATACGCGGACCACGGGGTCTATCTAGCCAAAAGGATAGGTGGACCCCGGGGTCTACCTAACAAAATGCTAGGTTTTAAAATAATAATAATAATAGATAGCATTTGTATAGCGCATATCCCCGCTCAACAGCAGGCTCTATGCGCTTTACACTATATTATTACCCCAGCAGACCATAGAACACTCCGAAACATTCTCAGCTTCCCGGGAAGCATACAGTGCGAGCAGCCGATTAAGCGCTCAAACACTAACAAACTGACAAGATCTTTCGCTGTCTATAGCCGGGTACCCATTCCCACCTGGGTGAAGTGAGGAAAATTCGTGTAAAGTGCCTTTCCCAAGGACACAACGTCGGGCCCCTGACGGGATTCGAACCCACGACCTTACGGTTGCGCGTCCGAGAGCCTAACCACTAGGCCACCGACGCCACTAATAGGATGTGAACCCCGGAATCAGCGTAGTGAAATAAGTAGATCTAGGTTTAACTAAGGATCGGTGGACCCCGGGGTCGACATAGTGAAATAAGTAGATCTCAGTCTATTTTATAGTAGGACTTGCGGAGCCCGTGGTCAACGTAGTGAAATTATAAGTAGATCTAGGTTTAATTAATAAAAAAGATTGGTGGACCCCGAGGTCAACGTAGTGAAATCAGTAGATCTAGGTTTAATTAAGGATTGGTGGACCCTGGGGTCAACGTAGTGAAATAAGTACATGTAGATCTAGGTTTAATTTTAAGGATTGGTGGACCCTGGAGTCAACGTAGTGAAATAGGTAGGTTTAAGGTGGACCCCCGGGTCTACCTGACGAAATACTAGTTAGGTTTTAGAATAGGTGGACCATGCGGTCACCGTAGTAAAATAAGTAGGTTTAATCAAGGTGTCCCGGGGGTCCACCAATCCTTAATTAAACCTTCTTATTCCTCTACGGCTATGGTGACTCCGGGATCCACCAATCCTTTTAAAATT